TTCCACAAACAAGGTCATATTTTTAGCTTTCGCACCCTTATGGGTTTCTTACTTTCTTTTCGTTTGTTTCTGTTTACTAACATCTAATCAAAATACCAAAAATAATTTTTGTTTCTTCTTCTCTGTGTGTTTAGGGTTTTGCAGGGAGATTGATGGCAAAGACATTCATTCAAGTTTAAATCAGATGGACGTTTGACCTCATCTTGGTCAAACTATCAAGAGTTTGCTTCAACTATAAGTTACCCGTGGTGGTGGGCTATTTTCTCAGGCTATTGTGATTGTTCAAGGTCAAATTGTCTTGTATTGAAATCCAGTGGTTTATCAAACAGTGTTCTATGAGAAGTTTGTTCCAGACTATTATGGTCAAGGTTCATCAGTCCAGGTTGTGTTCATCTATGGATTTATTTTCCCAGAGATTAATTCAGATAAACTCAAAGAGATTCAGTTTTAACCGAAGATTCAAAGTCAAGTGTGCCATTCAAGTGAACTTAAAGCATCATTGAAGTTCCAAAATACATGGAAGTGCAAAGCGTTCCTCTTGGAGAAGGAAAGAGACAGTTTGAGGTCATCCAAGATGATATGAGTGATGATTCCATGAAAATAATGAGTGTTATGATACTGATGGTGAGGTTGCTCATTCTCAGGAAGACTTGAAGTTCAAAGTGTTGTGATATTTCAAATTTATGTTTACACAAAAGGTGGTGAATATCATGATTTCACTACTACATATGGATAATATTTCTGCGAACTCCATGCGTTGTGGGTCCCGAGGGAGTGATTCTAAATTATCCAATACATCTTCTTTGAAGAGTAATTGTGAAGAGGGGAATAAAATGGACATATCTTTCATTAGTTTGCATTAGAAAACACACTAGATGGTGGAGTAAGCACAGCTAGCAGACAGGCCCTTGAGTGGCAAATGTCAATCTCAGCACGTTTCATTGAAGAATGGGAATGGCGTTTATCAATTTTGCAGCATCTTCTTCCATTATCTGAACGCCAATGGAGATGGAAAGAGGCACTGACAGTGTTACGTATAGCTCCCTCCAAGCTACTCGACCTTTGCATGCAGAAAGCAAAGTTTGATATAAGAAAAGAAGCAGTTCATCGATTTTCGTTATCTGTTGAAGACAAAGCAACCCTTGAGTTAGCTGAATGGGTAGATAGTGCCTGCAAAAAAAAAAGCATCTGGTTGAGTTACATTCACTGTCTTTCTTTGTGCTTGATGAGGCTGATTGAATGGTACAAAATGGTCATTTTAAGGAGTTGCAGTCGATAATTGACATGATTCCCATGTCCAATATCTCAAGTGAAGATAATTCTCAAGATGCGCAAAGTTGTATTACCGTTTCTAGTGTCCAAAGAAAGAGAAGGCAAACTCTTGTTTTTCTCTGCAACTGTCGCACTATCTGCTGATTTTCGCAAGAAGCTAAAGCGCAGTTCAATTCAGAAAAAGCAACCATCGACAAATGCTTTGGATTCTATTGAAACTCTTTCTGAGCGAGCGGGAATGAGACCCAATGAAATCACTGAAGTACGATATCGATGAAATTTTTGATCACAGGCCTGTCCATGTAGGAGAAGGACCAACCAGAGCATTGCGTGTAACAATTGTAAAAGAAGAGAAAACCAATGTTGATTAAGTTCAGTGATTGGATGCCTGAAACTGAACCTATAGGAGTTATGAGCCGAAGACATTCATCATCAGTGAATGATTCTCAAAAGCAACAACTAATGTCAGATACAGACTTTGGGTTTCACATCAATGTTGATCTTGCTGAGCTTGGGGTGTCTATTATTGATCATACACCAGAGGAAATTTTGTACCTGTCTGTTCAAAATCTTGTTCTGGCATATTCAACCGGTTTGGGATCAGTAGATTCAAACTCAGAATGTGTGGGCTACAAGTGGACAACCAACTGCCATTAACTCCAATGCCAGTCCTCTTCAGGCCTCAAAGAGCTGTGTCAGAGACTGATTATATCCTGAAATTTTCCATTACAATACAGTCAAATGGATCATTGGATCTTTGTGTCTATCCATACATTGGTCTTCATGGGCCGGAAAGTTCTGCTGCTTTTTTAGTAAACATCCATGAACCTATTATTTGACGCCTTCATGAAATGATCCGGCAGGTTAAGCTTGGTAGGTTGTCTGAATCTCAAACAACTGCTGCATCAGTTGATCCAATCATTCAAATTGGTGTCCTTAATATTTCGGAAGTACGGTTCAAAGTGTCGATGGCTATGTCTCCAAGTCAAAGACCTAGGGGAGTGCTTGGATTTTGGGCATCTTTAATGACTGCATTAGGCAACACGGAAAATATGCCTGTCCGGATAAACCACAAGTTCAACGAGAATGTATGCATGAGGCAGAGTTCTATGATTAGCATGGCTATCTCAAATATCCGGAAAGATCTTCTAGGCCAACCGCTTCAGCTGCTCTCAGGTGTTGATATATTGGGCAATGCAAGTAATGCACTTGGACATATGAGCAAGGGTGTAGCTGCATTGTCTATAGATAAGAAGTTTATTCAAAGTCAACAAAGACAGGAAAGCAAAAGTGTCAAAGAAGATATTCTGGAGCGTGCCATTCCACACTGGAAGTTTTCTAAGAGCAAAGGCATCGGGGTATTTGGTAATGATGCAAAAGACACTATTATTCCAGTTGAAGTATGGAGATATTACTTGCTCACAAATAGGCCTGAGGTATCGGATACACTTTTTACGTGGTCTGACTTGCAAGCAAAATTAAATACTGAGTTGCTGAATAACTTGGGAAACTTTGTCAACAGAGTTTTGAGTTTTATTGCCAAACCTGCAGGTCAAGGATATGATTCCATTATTCCCACTGTTCCTGATGATGTAAGCGGTGACTCCCATGATCCAACCAAAAAATTGGCCAGCAAAGTTGCTGCATATTTGGAGCAATACATAGAAGCAGATGGTTCTGGACCACTTGGTGATTCAAAAACTGAATGCAGAAGGTAGATTGGAGAAGAAAAAAGACTGATAAAGGAGAGGCCTTGAAAGAATCGTACATTCATTGGAACGCCCAGATGGATTAACGGTTGCTGCCAAACTTGTTCACAGAAACTGGCTTCATCTACTCAACTGCAGCGAAACTACGGTTCTATCGCTTATTGATGCTATTTCTCAACTCCCAACAATCAGCAGCATCAAACATGGCTCAACCTGAAGTCAGGCACCTAGCTCAAAGCTTGCATCAGATGATGATGGCGTGCCTATGAGTCCACCTGTTAATATACCGCCCTTCTCGGCAATTTCAAGTCCTTTATCTGTTTCTTCACATACTGGTCCACAATCAGGGAGTGGCTCAGTTTGCAGTGATGAATTTCTGACTGCTAAAACATCTAGAGGCCCCACTCCTACCACTTCTGCTAGCAAAGTGGAGACTCCAAAAGTAGTCAATACAACCGCCATGTTTCCATCAGCTATACCGCAGGCTGCTCGTCGGTTGAGTAAGGAGAAGGCTGAGCTTAAGGCACTTAGGCAAGAGAAAGAGAAAGTTGAACAAGAACTCACTGCTTCTAAAAATGATGGTTCTATATCTTTAGGATTTCGCAAGGTGTAGAAGAGTTTTCTTGATTTCGCCGAAGCTGATGTGAGGTCACTTATATCGTTGTATGCCGATGTGGGGACGAAGTTGATGCTTGCTTTTGAAACCGGCATTCATGACACTTTTGGGATTGATCTGGTTGCAATGAGTGTCAATGACATTGTTACTTCAGGGGCAAAGCCTTTGTTTTTCATTGATTACTTCGCTACAGGCCACCTTGATGTAGATGTTGCTGAGCAGGTTATAAAAGGAATTGTCAATGGTTGTAAGCAATCTGATTGTGCTCTTCTAGGTGGAGAGATTGCAGAGATGCCTGGTCTATATAAAGAAGGCGAGTATGATCTCAGCGGTTGTGCTGTTGGCATTGTAAAGAAGGAGGATGTAATCAATGGGAAGAACATTGCCGTTGGTGACATTATTATTGGTTTGCCATCCAGTGGAGTTCATTCCAATGGCTTATCACTTGCAAGAAGAGTGCTTGCTCAAAGTGGGCTTCAATTGAAAGATAAACTTCCCGGCAGTGACATTACAATTGCTGAAGCTTTGATGTCTCTGACTACTATCTATGTCAAACAGGTGCTTGACATAATCAGCAAGGGAGGGGTAAAAGGAATTGCCCACATCACTGGTGGTGGTTTTGCAGATAACATACCTCGAGTTTTTCCTGAAGGCCTCGGCGCTCTTATACATGAAAACTCATGGGATATACCGGCAATGTTCAAATGGCTTCAGGAGGTTGGGAAGATTGAAGATTCTGAGATGATGCGAACTTTTAATATGGGCATCGGGATGGTCCTTGTAGTTAGTCCAGAGGCAGCAAATAGCATGCATTCTAAAAAAGATGTTGTTCGACAGATATTATAAACATGCACGAAGAATCTGCCATCAGGAGCAAACTAGGACGTTTGCTATTTGTAGTTTGAAGTACAGTTCCGCAAGTGCTGAAGAATCTGAAATGCATTTTGTCCGCTTGCTGGATGACCAGACTTTTGACTTCATATCAGTTTATTCACTTGACACTTATTGAGTATGGTTGCTTTATAATTAGCTGCTCCTTCTCAGTTGATAATAGCTCAAGTAAAGGAAATAATTTTGAACCAATTCAAACAATACTCTAACTTCCCTGACTTCAATAATTACCTTGCGTTCATCTTTTCTCATGCTCAAGGAATATCGGTGGAAGTTCGGCAGGCTGCAGGATTATATCTGAAGAATAACCTGAGAAATACAATTTAATGAAGCCTGAACACCAGCAATATGTGAAAACAGAGTTGCTGCCTTGTCTTGGTGCAGCAGATAAACACATAAGATCTACGACAGGAACTATCATCGGCGTTGTTGTTCAAACTGGAGGAATTTAACAGTGGCCAGAATTATTGCAAGCCCTTGTAAATTACTTGGACATCAATAATCTGAATCACATGGAAGGTGCAATGGATGCATTATCCAAGATTTGTGAAGATGTTCCCCAAATTATTGACGCTGATGTACCAGGGTTAGCAGAGCGTCCCATCAATATATTTCTTCCTAGATTGTTTCGGTTTTTCCAATCACCTCATGCTTCATTAAGAAAGCTATCGTTGGGTTCTGTCAATCAATACATTATGTTGATGCTTTCTGCCTTATGTGTATCCATGGATCAATATCTTCAAGGTCTGTTTATTCTTGCAAATGACCCTACATCAGAAGTGTGGAAGTTGGTCTGTGCAACATTTGTTCAGCTGATCGAAGTCCATCCATTAGTTCTTGCAGCACTATTGAGCTTGAATTTTGAGATACTTTCGGAGATATTTGTAAATGTTATTTCTGAGTTGATACATCCGGGAGTATTGTTGGTGCTGCCACAAGTTAGAATTCTGAAAAGCAAATTAGATAGGTCAGTGAGAACTTTGATCATGAGCTCGATGGATCAAACACTATCTTGGCATTGAGAGAATACTTTTTGAAGGCTAGCAAAATCATGGACAAAGAAATGAAACCGCATCGTGATATTGATGGTTTTTGCAGTGGGATTGCAGTAGTTACCTTGATAAAGCAGGGGATGAATCTTGTTATTACAGATGTGAAGTGTCTGGGCTTGCACTGGGTCGTATTTCCAAGACGGTTGTACCTTCAAGTCACATGTTGAAAAATAATCCACGTCAGATAATTGAAATTGGGGTGAAATCAAAAAGAAGGAATAGCACGTGAGCTACAATAAAAAGTCCAAAACGACAACAAAAATATTCACCAGAATTTCAAACTCACGCGTAAACACCCAAGAACCAAAACGCAAAGAAAATCACAAAAACGGCAAATTATTTTCCCTCACTCTCACTCTATAAATACAATCCATTTCATTCACAATTTCCTCAAGCTTGAAAAGCCAGAAAATCCCTGTTGAAAACTTGCCAATACTCATCTTCAACCTTCAACCGAACTACTTCGATCAATTCCAAATTCACCATTCTTCATCACTCTTCTTCCATTTCCTTCAAATTCTTTCCCATTTCAAAGCAAATTGGAGCTAGAGCAGTAGAAGAGAGAAGAAGAAAGTTTTAATTGACATTTACCTCGACTTTGAAGGTAGTTTGGAGTGAATTTCTCTTTTCCGCTTCGTTTCCGTTGTCGATCATTCTTGAAATTGTTGGTTGCATCATGTGAAACTTTTCATTTCGATCGATTTCGTATACCTTTCAAGCTCCGCCGCTGCCGGATTGAGCTCCAACATCACGGAGAAAGTGATGGCATTGAGAGCTTCAACGTGAAGCTTCACGAGGAAGATGGTCATTCTGTTTGTTTTTCTTTCTCTTTTTTTTTCCTTTTCAATTTTGTTTTTTATTTCAATTTTTCTTTATTTTTTTTATTATTTCTCTTAAAGAACCGGGCCGTGTGGGCCTTCCTTTTTTTTTCTTTTTTGTTACTAGTTTATATTTTAAATAATATTCTTGAAGAAAAATCTTGAAAAATTATTTGAAAAATATTTTTATTTTGGATTAATTGTTGGTTTGTTTTGGATCCTAAATTTTGATAAAATTTCATCAATATCAATGGACTTTGGGTGTCGATTTTATCCACCAAGAGAGGTGATTGATATTGATGATGATTTAATCGATTTAAGATTCAAATTGAAATTTCTTTTCATTTTAATTTTCTTTCTTCTTCTTTTTATTTTTGATCGATGAAATCTATGGATCATAGATTGTTGATTATCAAGGTTGTTTAATCTTCATTATTTCAAAACTATGGACGAATAATCATTGAGATAATTCTCCTTACTTTGGAATAGTGATAGATTACCTTTGATTAATTGATGAAAAATCTTGATTATGATGAGATCACCACCTCTTTTCTTTTTGTGTGGCATGTTTTAGGAGAGTGATTTATATATCATTTCTCTAACATGTATTAACACTAACATTTTATTGACCGGCCTCAGATAGTCGTGGTTTCTACATAAACCCGATTACGATTGCTTAACATAGCGCTAAAGTGTCCCTTAATCGGAAAATGATCATTCGTGGCTCAAACTTACGTTTAAAAGTCCAAGTATGATTAGTTGCTTGTCTTAACTCCAATACCTATGAAAATCATTGTTAGGAGGCTTTGATTCTATCAATCCTCTAATGAATTTTCATTAATCTTGGTCTAAGTGCAAGAATTAATCATCATTGATCATATGTTCTAACCACTAACCACTAATTCACTAACAATATCCTTGTTTAATTTTGTTTATATTCTCTTCTTACTCCTTATTTCTTACTTTTATGTTTCCATATTATCATTTCATATCATATCTTTGTTTATGTCTATGTCATTTTCTCTTTTGTCCACTTGGACCATACTTTGTTCAAAACACTAATAAAGGATAAAACATCTAAAAAATTTGGTGCTATTAACTTTGTGGTTATACTCTTGGACCACTCTTAGACCTTGGACTTCATGGACCTTTGGACTTAGAATTAGGGCTCTCATTCCTATGCTTGGAGTATTGTGGATCTTAGCCTTTATTTGGCTCGCTCATTAGCTTATGCTTTAAATCGGATGGAATTCTTTTTTGCTTGCTATGGAGTGTGCTACAAGTCGGTTAGATCTTTCTTACCTCTAGCTCTTATTTTGGTTTTTAGGATAGTCACTTCATCTCCTCCCCTTCTTAAATTTTCAAAACTTTCTCCCTCTTTCAAAACCTTCTTGGTTTCAAACTTCAAAACCGCTTTCGCAATAAAACCTTGACTTTCGTCAAGTGATTTTCAAACTTTGTTCTTCTTAATAAAAGTCAATCAATGTTAATCATGCTTTGACCAATTTCAAAAGACATAAAAAATACAAAAACTCATCAACTCTTTTTGTGCCTTTATGCACTTTTTCACTTTAAAACTTTTCATAAAGTTTAGACATGATTCATTTCTATAGTTGAGATGTAAATCTCCTATTCCCCATATTATTAAGACTTTGACATTTTCCACGTTGATGTTGAGTGATAGTCTTGTTGATAATCCAAGCAAATCCTCCATCTTTATGTGACGCAGATGTTGTCTTAATACTCGTGGGTGGATAGTCGCAGTTTTCTCCTTGAAATGACGACTTGTCTTTACATCTAAAATCAATCAAAACCAACAAATTTTTGTCATTTGTACCACGAACTACGGGGTTTTAATTCCATATTGCACTTTATGGGTACGTAGGCATGAGACGATAAGTCTCTCCAAACACAAAAATCTAAAAAATAATTCTCTTCTCATCTCCCCAATCTCTTTTCAAACAAACCATTTTCAAACCAAAAAGCGTAAATATTTCAAAGGGCTCCTATAGAGTACTATAGACGTTTTGGGTGCTAACACCTTCCCATTGCGTAACCAACCCCCTTACCCCGATCTCTGTTTCTTGTTCTTGTTTTAGAACTCTGTGGTTTTGTTCGCTCTTTTTCCTTTCCCTTGTTTGAATAAAATAAAAGTGCGGTGGCGACTCTTGTTCTTTTGAGTTAAGCTAATCAATAGCTTACGCTCACGATTTTTACCGCTACAGAAAAGTGGCGACTCTGCTGGGGACTCCAACGGTTCCTAGTGGGTTTCGCCTACTTTGATTTACTTCTCGCTTTCTGTTTGACTTGTTTGTTATTGTTTGTTCTGTTTTGGTGCCTGGTAATTTGTGTGGTGAGATAAGTCCTAACCCGGACTTGAGTGCACTTATGATAGGAGGGTGGTATAGTCTTGTTGGCTTACGTGGAGTAGTCCTTACTAAGCTGACTTGAGATCCCCCGCTCGGTGGAGGCCTCTTTGGAAATTACTGATGTCTTACGAGTAGTCGTAATTGATATTACTTTTTCCGACTGGGAGCCTGAGAAGCTGAGGACCTTAGAACCCTTTAACCCATCTTGGCCTTATTAGGACGTGGTGCGGTGGCTGTTCAGGTGTAGACTTGAATTGGTCGTTATGCGATACCACACTCAGATGAGTTTCTCTTGAGAATATTGTTGGCCGACGAGTAGTCGTTTAAGCCGATAATATCCAAAAGATGGAATTATGATTCTGGGAACTTTTTAGAACCTTGTTCTACAGGTGATGATATAACCATAGTACATACCATTGTGGGATGGTTGGTTCTTACCTTTGGCTCCATGCTCGTGCCGAACCTTTGAACCTGTGTGCTTTGTATGTCTTGTTTGTGGGTGTTGCATCTTGCACTCATGCATTCATGAGCATTGTGTTTCAGTTGGTTTTTAAGGAACTCAGAGATTTCTTTTTGCAAATATCGCAAATTTTTTAGAATCATGGATATTGAAAGAAGTAACACTAAGAAGTACATTTTCACGAGTTTTGACTTACAAGAGTTGAGAAAGCTTGAATCTTTGGTATCTAGTCCTGTAGATTTCAAATGCTATTTAAGAAACTGTTGATTATTCTGAGAACTGATGTTGAAGAGGGGATTCTTAATACCTTGGTCCAGTTCTACGATCTGTTGCATCGTTGATTTATTTTCCCAGATTATCAACTATTGCCAACTTTAGAGGAGTATGCCTATCTTATGGGTGTGTAAGTCTTCAATGAGTTTCTTGAGCGACGTGTCATGAAGAGATCAAGGGATCCAGAGGATTTATTTTCCTCTAGTATATCATCATCTGCTCATCTTCCTACCTCCGGTTCTTGGAAGGGTATTGTGAATCGACTCGTGAAAGAAAAAGACACCATAAAGATCAGCTATGTAAGATAAATCAAGAGGCTTCGCAAGAAGTATCAGCTCAGAGTTGGGTCGTTTTCAGACACGATTCCTTAGAACTAGATTTCATTCTCTCCTGTGTTGTAAGATTGATGAATCTGTACTTCAAAGTTGTAATTCTTTCAATATTAATGAAATGAGATTTTTGGTATATCCAGTGTGTTATCTTAATGTAATGTTTGCAAACTGCTTTACAGTTCCTTGAAAACTTGCATTTGCATTTGCACATCAAGCATCATTCTGCATTGTATCTTGCCTTTCCCGGGTGTCTTATTTACTTCTTGTTCTTGGTCTTTGTTCAGACAAGTTATCACATCACTACAATACTCGAGCTAAAGATGGATCAGTTGCAACGAGAGAATCGCGAGCTTCGCGAGGAATTGGCTACTTTGAGGGATGGTATGGAAAGGATCTCTACTTTGGTTGAAACTCTGGTTGTTGCTCAGAATCAACTTTCTCCTCATGTTTCTCAGACTCCACTACAAAAGACTGTGATTTCTGAAATCATTTCAACACTCAATTCTATGGCTCTCATTAGCGCTTCCAGTCATGTTACCGAGACGTGTCTCGAAGAAGATGTCCGGAAAGGATGGTTGACCAAAGAAAGTGGTCCTTCTAACAGTTCTAAGAAGTATGGAAATGGTTTTTCCAAGAAGAAAGAACAAGCTGCTAACGCTATTTCGCAAGAAAAACGTAGAAGATCTTGTAACAAAAGTAAGCAACAACATACACAACA